GAGAGTGAAACCAAGACGACGCTCGACTGGGGGAAGCGATTTGAATTCACAACGAGTGTGGGCTTGGCATTCAGACACCCAACCTCTTGTGGGAGTCGGTGAATCTGTCTCGGACTTGGGTTTTCGCAATTTCAGCCCGGAATCGGATATCGCACATCGGCATGGAGCGAGCTTAATCGTACGAGGTGTAGGGGGTCCGAGTTTGTAAGCCTTCTGTGCTCGAGGAATCAAGCAGCACCGATCCATGCACCACACACACGGACGTAAGGACCCGCACCCCTGAGCTCGACATGAAAAGTTTCCATAAAGAGAACAACCCTCAAGTGGGAACCATCACCTCTGAACCCCGCACTGTATCATCGATTGCGCAGCTCCGCTATTATCTTCGCGTGTGGCGATAAGACGCGATTCGACATCCGGTTGCTTAGCGCAAGGACCAGCGGCTCGCAATCCAAAGGTAGCGACTTCCAATCTGGTTTGAGGTGGGGGTGGAGGTGAACTCAGCCCATCATTCCTTTGGGGTTGATAAAAATGAGTATCATTCTGCGGGCAAGTCAAACAGGAGTTTACCCGACGGGAGAGACTCACCCTTGCCAAAAGGAACGTGGAATTTCCACCACAGGCTCAGGGCTGTCAACGGGAGGTGAACGCCGACTCACTGCTCGTTTGAGCAATAATTTTTTTCTTGGGACTAGTTTGAGCGATACGTGTTTATTTATTTATATTTGTGCCGCCGATATTCTAACGAAGTGGGTTCTTCCTCTGCAGGGTCGTGCGTCGTCAGTGTGGGGTTTTTTTGTTTTTTGCTGCGGTGCGAGCTTCGTTTCTGTTCACCTCTTCAGTTTCTTGGCGTCTCTTTTCTTTGACGCTCTGCAATGCTCCGCGAGCCTCTGCACGTCGCGCAAAACGCCAGCGTCCGTCACGCGTATGCGCAATGCGTTTGGCAACCGCGCAAATTCGTGTCATTTGCGTGAAGCTCGGCGAGAGCCCGTTGAGAAGTGCGACGTTCGCACGCGTTGTTAGAACAGACGATGCTACAGCACACAGGCACGCTTCCGCGGCCGTCTGGAACGCTCTTTCTTCTCCGATATTAGGAAGCCGCCGGGAGCTATGCACTTTTGAATCAACCAGATTGACCAACTCATGTCTTTGGGACTTATTTTTTTGTGCGTTTAGTTTGTTGTCCTTCCACCCGCACCTCCGATTAGCGAGGTTGGCCACGTTCGGTGCTGAGAAAGATGCTCAAAGGATTCAAACTCACAGCCACAAACTCAACCTTCTCGGGGCAATCCTGTGCCAAGTCCAGGAGGGGAGCTCCTCATGTTGGCTCGGTACAACGAATGGGTTTCCACTTGTGGGTTGTTCTCGTTCTGAGCTTTCAAAATGTTGTAAAGGAGGGGTCGGGCAAAATACGACCTTTTTGTATGTTGACGTTTCTCCCAAATTAGACAAATGTAATAAAATACAAGGCTGTCGTTTAAAAAATAATATATATAGTTGTCTGTGTTCAGCGGTCAGAACTAAGCTATGTGCGTGGCGGTGTCTGTGTTAATCGTTTATGGGTGACTTAACAGCCGAACGATTGTTCAAAAAGGGGGGTCAACGATTCCGGAAATGGTCCTCATCGTAGCCTCTCCCGTTATTCGTACTCGGAGCCGCGCTGTTCGTGTTCCTGCAAACAAAAAATTAACATGCTTTATCGACGCACGGAATATGAACACACATGTACACACACACGCCCTCATACCTGTATAAACATTTGCAATGTGTTTCCAAACTGAAAGATGCGAAATTACTTAATTTGTATTAACAAAAATCATTTTTAAAATGTGTTTAGTCTTAAATGGATTAATACAAAAATATACAGTATTAAAGCAGGTTTAAACCAAAAAATAAGCTATCTATATATTTTCGAAAGCCACTTATTCGAAAATAAACCACTTATTTAAGCAACAATAATTCTCTCAACGTAAACCCAGCGATACACGCTCACACGAAACACTCGCACGCTTGAGCGTGTGGTTGCGCGTATACTCACGGTTAGGGAAAACACTTGTGCCAATCGCAGGATCGCAGCTTCTGTTGTCCAGCAGTCGTTTTCATGAAAATTTTTGAATTCCTGTGCAATGTTCGTGGGCAAAAATGCAACCAGGCCCGTACTCATGGGTTGGCGCGGCGGTCTTGAGTGTGCTGAGCCACCGGCAAACCACTTCGGTGTACGGATGGCAAAGGTTCGAGCCCCATCTCGAGGAAGTAAAAACATTTTGGGACGAGTGGAAGCCAAGGTTACACCCCCCCCCCCCCGCCCGCCGCCCCCCACACTAAACTCAAAATTGGTTGCACATTCTCGTTGTGAAGTATTAACGGTGTGAAAAGTGTCCGTGGTGCCAAAACTCTCTGCCGCCAACTTACGCGTGTGGTTCAGGTCTGCCGATGTATTAATAAACGAGCTGGTGCATTTACACAGGGTACCACAAAGAGCGGCACACACCTTCGTGCCCACTCATATTTACACAATGCAAATCGATGGCACGGCTACGTGGCATGAGCGTGGCTTGACCACACTCCTGGGTGCACTTTGAGATTCTGTTTCACGTTCCGAAAAGTAGAAACGGGCGATCCAAAGGGGGCCACCACTTCACGTCGCTGGATGAAATAGTTGCGCAGCGCGGCTTCTGTAAACGTCGTCACTTTATGTAATTCCCGCTGTATTGTATTTCTACCGTACTGTAACGTTAATGTAAAAATAAATCTGCAAATGAAAAAAACAGAAACACCGCTTTTTATTGAACGCGAGTCACCACAAGCGTTGCTGTTGCTCTGGAGACTGGTGGAAGATCGATGTTCGGTCGTCGCGTTGATTGAATTCGTCGTGTTTTCTCACTTAACAGAGTGGGCCGCGCGAAGGTGGCCACCCTCAATTAAACTTTCCTTCTTTTAGTTAACCCAAGAGATGTGGATTGCGTAAATCCTTGGCAACCGGAGGACTACTTTCTTTTAGGATCGGTGGCACTAAGCTCAGGACCAGGAGATGGCGGTCACCTTCGTGGGCCTGCGAAATAAGCCAAAGTGTTGACAAAGCGAATGGGTATTCTTGGTTTTTTCGGTAAAGTCACGTAGAAGGGATATAATAAAATAATGAAAATAAAACATAACTAAATAAAATTCTCACGTTTCAGCCACAACACAAGCAGCCGCCCTCAGGTGAAGAACAGGTCTGTCCGAAAGACAGCGTCCCAAAGAACACTGCTAAGCTTGGCAGCGTATTTTTAAGCTGGGTGGGAGGAGCAGAGCGCCGTGACAAAGGAGTTTACATATCAACAGAGGAATTTAGTATATTGACGCTAAAAAACTGCAACTACCCTACTACCATACAATAAACCGATGTGAAAAACTAAACATATAACTACATCAATATAATATAGTTTTGTTGCCAGATATTAGGGTAAAAAAACAATTATCATATTTTTTCTGGCAAATGAGGTTCCAATGGTGTAAATGCTTGACCCCGAGCTCTCATACTCTGATGGTGCATTGTCTTTGAGTTGTGCGCCTTTTGGCATCATCTGGTCCAACCCATGTGAGACTAGGCTCTAAGGAAAGCTGTCTCGGGTGTGGACCAATCAACTTCAAGGACAGTGCACATTATCAGTTATGTTTTTTGTTTGCATTATGACTGCAGGTATTGTAGTCTATGCAAACATGACTCCTTGTAAAAAAGGTGTCAGTTTTGTTGCCAGATAGAAGGGTAAAAAAACTTATATTTTTTACTGGCAAATGAGGTTCCAATGGTGGTACATCAATATAATCAATGTACTCAATATACTCTTCAATAAGCTGAGCTATTAACATTTTAACAAGCTTTAAAACATTAACAAGCTTTAAATAGAAGCGATTGGGATTCGTCCATTTCCCGCAACTGTCTTTTTGGGTTTCGCCTCGGCTCGTCAAGAGAGCCGCGACTGTTGTTGCAAGAGGCAGACGGCACGGCACCTCTTGGCCTTGCCGACTGCTCGAGGAAGGCCACCCACCCCACTCCCTCGCGCTGCACGAGAGCTCGTGGCCGCCCAGATTTGCTCGCCACTGGAAGACGGATAATTTGACTTCGGTGTCAGGACGGCGGGCGCGAAAACGAAGATCTCTGGTGAAAGATGTGTGAAGCGTTGCGAGCATAACAACAGCATCTATTGGCTTTTTTTACAGATATATTGGAATATAAAGGCGTTTTAGCTAGCTGATGGGAGTTGAGAGCATTGTGGCAGAGTTAAACATGATGAGTTTGGCAGTGTGCAAGAGTTTAGAGTTTTCTTAACGTCTCACGTGTTCCGTAAACAGGTTGCAAATTTATGAAGTTGGGAGAGAAAAATAACGCAAGTCTGTGTAAAAAAGAACAATCCAGGATTAACTCACATTCAGGAAGAAAGGTAGTTTCTGCATATATTTGGCAGAAAAGTGGTCAATAACCAAGGATATTTCCTGGAAACCGAAATGTGATTTGCACTAAAATATGGATTGGGCTTTTCTTCAAAAAGTTTTCCTTCCTCGAGGTGATGCTCACGGTTTGCTTTGTAACCAAGGATATTTCCTGGAAACCGAAATGTGATCTGCACTAAAATATGGATTGGGCTTTTCTTAAAAAGTTTTCTTTCCTCTAGGTGATGCTCACAGTTTGCTTTGTATGACCATCATCATCCATGGTCAATGCACCGCTGGGATGAATCCCTCACGAGCCACCGGCACCTCTCGTGACCCTGCGACGCAATAAGTCAACCGGGCACCTGCAGACGAACCGATTTCTTCGCTCCATCTCCACGGCGGACGTGTTACTCCACACTACTACGACTACTGCTACGTACACACCGAGGGGCTTAGAGGCCCGTCGGGTTTTTCATGCGCTGTGACCGGGCAAGCCGTTCACGACGCCCGAGAGTCGATCCAACCCACGACGCAAACGCCAGCGCCGCACGGGCAGGGAACAAACGAGACGCAACAGCGGCCCCTGAAAAAGAAGACTTTTTTTTATTTCGTATCACAAGCGCTCCGGAACGCTTGCACATCGTTAAGTTTATAACCAATACTGTACATGATCACAGGAAAATTCTCTCCCTCTTGGCCATACGACAACGTATGCATAATCAAGATGCAAAATACACGATTTACAAGACCCTTGGTTTACTGTCCTTTATGGGATGATGGAGGTTTGGAATTCGAAGATTTGTTTTTGAGCGGGAGCGGCGGTTCACTGGTGGAGAACAGAAGGGTGGGGGGGTTAGCCGAGGTTGGGTGGGGGTTGAGGAGGGGATGAGGGTCAAGTTGAACCCTCGGTGTCTCCACCACCACCGCCACCCGCCCAGCGAGGGAGTCACCCCCCCCCCCCCCCCACCATCGCTCCTGGTGGTCGTGGGAGCCCTCTCACTGCAGGTCGCGGTCCTCCAAGTAGCGATACTCGAAGGTGAACCCTTCCTTCTTGCGTTGGCCCCACTTCTCGTAATCAAAGTAAATGTACGTACCCTGTGCAGAGACACAACAAAGACAAAATGGTCCCCCCGTATAGCCTTTAAAAGACTGCTGAAGCAAGTTATGTTAAGCGAGCACCTATGAAGGCCCGCGCGGCCACATGAGACGCCCCGGCCGCCTTTGTCTCCCGAGTCCACACATCACGACAGGTACTCATTTATGGCCGAGTAGAACTAGGGGAGGCCCAGGACCGGCTCAGATAATCGTCACTGGTATTGGCCATGAGCAGGAAACAGAGCGAGCATGTAAGCGGGTGTACAAGCCTGGGAGTGAGTGTGTCGGTGGGCCTGTGAGCAATTGTGCAAGCCTGCGAGTGTGTCGGTCAGCGTGCACGTGAGCACGTAAGCCTGGAAATGTGTCGGCGAGTGTGGAAGCAACAAGCGAGTGTACAGCGCTACCTACCTGCTCGTACTCGTCCGTGATGGTCTTGGGCTCCTCATGCCGCTGGAACCACATCATGTACTTGGTGTGGAACCTCCACGACTGCTTCTTCAGGGCCTTGGCTGCCAAGTACTGCGCCTTGGTGCCCTACAGAGCACGCACGAGCCACAATGCCTTGCAGGTGCCACAAGCACCACCGCCACCTCCACCGCCTCTAAAACCACCACCACCTCCATCACTGCCACGACCTCTATCATCACCACCACCACCATTACCGCCATGGCTCCATCTACACGACAACTCCGTTCAGGTTTCACGCTGTTTTGGGATCGTCTGTGCTGCATTTTCCTGCTACCCCATATGACAACAACAAAAATGATATCTGTGCCACTATGATTACATAGTTTGGTGAGCCAAGTCACCCGCACCTCGTGAAGATAAATAAACTTGAATTTGATCTATTAGGGAGCATTATGGCAGCATAGTCATGCCATGCGACGTCAAATGTAAATGTTGCAATTTAAATGAGGGACTGTGTTGGTTGGTGTGGTCTGGGACGGTTTTTTGTTTTTCTGCATTGCCCAAGATTGCATTTGGTGCTGAAAAATTGACAGGAATTGATGTACTTACGCAATTTGTACTTTTTATTTACATATATTTAGTTCCTTGCTTAGCTTTCCTATACTTTGTACTCCCTATCGTTTTTTTGTACCGTTTGTTGTTTTTGTAACTTTCTGACCCGCCCCGACTGGACATCTGTGAAAAAGAGCTTCACGGCTTGTCAGATTTCTCCAGGGTGAATAAAGATTCTAATGATTCTGAAACCAGTTTCACCTTTTATACAGTCGTCAACGTTGCGTTGTATTGCTATCACTCGTAGAAAACATTGCGCGTTTCATCCCAATAAACTATATAAATATATTACCACGTAAGGCCTCACTGAGCTTATAGCTCTTTTTAAGAAGCAGCCTGACCATCACGAATTACATCCCAACGGAGTGGCTTGTCGTCATGTGGACATTTTATAGCAGCCAAATACTCAAATCGCGTGATGTTGATTCTAAAATGTGGAAGGAAAAACCGGAGGACCCGAAGAAAGATCCACGCAACCACCACGTGGAGAACGTGCAAATCCCAAATATACAGAAGGCGTCAGGGTCGGGATCGAACCCACGACCTCCTGTATACCAGGCGAGGTGTTAACTACCTCGCCTGGTATAGAGCCCAAAAGCTATCCGTGCACAGCTGTCCTAAAACTGGTTTCCCGTTAGAATCCGACCGAGACCATCGGCACAGCGTGGGCAGGGGTGGGGGCAGTCACGACACTTTACCTCCAGGTAGTAGAAGATGAAAAAGAGGGTTTCGGTGGAAAGGCGCTGGTAGAAGTCGAGGGAATCGTAGCTGCCAGGCAGAGCGGGCTGGTGATACACGGGTATGGGGCACGGACTCCTGGGCAGGTAATGCCTGTGAGAGGAGCAGGCACGGGCGGGGGCCACATGGGCGTGGGACGGTGGCGTGGCGATCGAGTGTCCAGGCACTGGGATATGAAACTGGACGGAAGGGCGGGCCCCATTTCATTTCTTGCAACCAGGGCCCATGGCAACCGGGCCACGCCATCGACCGTCGAGTAATAGACGAATGCGCGCGACCGTTGCGTGAATACATGCACGCAACAGCAGCTACACGCCAAGACTGAACTTATTTATATTTGACCAGGTAAGGCCCACTGAGCTACATAGCTCTTTCTCAGAAGCGACCTGGCCTCAAATGTCAGCTCAACAATGTGGCTCATCATCATGTGGAAATGTAAAGCAGCGAAATAAGCTGAAGGCGTGATGTTGATTCGAAATGCGGAGGGAGGGAAAAACCGCAGGACCCGGAGAAAAGTCCACGCGACCATGGGGAGAACACGCAAACTCAAAATATAAAGGTGTCAGGGTCGGGACCGAAACCACGACCTCTTCCATACCAGGTGAGGCAGCTAACATCTCACCAGCAGCGCCCCTGCACCATGCCTGTGCAAGAATGCACTTGTGCGCACAATTTAGCAGTAGGCAGGCATGTCCACTTTTACACGACAGGGCCAATAGGGCCAACAGGACAGAGATCCCCCATGCGGCCTCTAACGAACTTTTGGCGCAAATGCTGTTAGCGGAATGGCACCTACATAAACGCTGACACGGCACAAAAGAGGGTTGGGTGTGGGACAGCACCACGCCCGGCCGCCTTTGCCACCCCAGTGCTGATGTTTACACACTGCACCAGGCACACACTGCGCTGTATATACACACTGCACGAGGCTGTGCCCACCTAGGGGAGGCCCAGGACCGGCTCAGATATTCATCATCAACTCGGGTCGCCGGGTTTGCACCGCGGTGCACCAACCGCTCCACCTATCACACACGCACTACAGCATCACCTCGACTGACTAAATAAAATCACTGAAGTTTCAGTGCGAATATAATTTTACAACACAATTCAAGCTTGTCTGTTTTTTAAAATCTGTAAATGTAGAAATTGCTTCTTAGCCCGATGGGCTATGGTTCGGGTGGGGGGGGGAATTTCAAGAGGCGTGAAATCGACCCTCACCTGAGCCTCTCCGAGTCGGAGGGGTGCGGCATGTGATGCCACACCGCCTCCAGCATGGCCTGCTGGTACAGCAGCTCCTTGACAAGGGGCACGGGCGCCAGCGGGCAGACGCCCATCACGGGCTGCAGCCTCGCCTCCACCGTCGCCACCTCCACGCCGGGGGACGGCGCGTCCGAGCCCTCGCCGTCCACCACCACCACCGGCGGCGCCGTCTCCAACTCCTCCTCCAGCAGCAGCTCTGGGGGCGGGGGGGGAGGCAGGGCACGGGGCGGTGAAGTTTCACGAGGAAAATGTCACAGCTGTGCGTAGTGGCACACGAGCGTCTGATCCAGCAACATACAAAAAACACACCCGAAGTGAAAAGCTGTTAATTGGGGCACCGCAGTAGGGCAAGGTTTTAACTACTTCGCCTGGTATGCAGGAGGTCGTGGGTTCGATCCCGACCCTGACGCCTGCTGTACGTTTGGAGTTTGAATGTTCTCTCTCCCCATGGTCACGTGAATCTTTCTCCGGTTCCTGTGTTTTTTCCCTCCCCATTGAGAATCAACATCACGCGGCGTTCAGAGCATTTGGCTGCTATAAACTTCCACGTGATCTGCCAATTCGTTGAACTATCATCGCATGTGGCCAGGTCACTCGAAAAACAGCTATGTAGCTCATTGGGCCTTACCTAGTAAAATGAAAAGTTAATTTTTTGTAGTTTACAGTTTCATTAACACTTTGAATAGGACCTAAGGCAATTTGTTATTAAATAATTTGTGCAAGGATCTCATAAAGATCGGCGGAGCAACCAAACCTGCTGTGCTGCGAGCGTAAGCCGGTAGCAAAGCAAGTGAAACTTGTCTGCGTGGACCTTTGAGTGTTACATTCTTGTGTGTGTGTGTGAAGGTGGAGAATCCAGGATCTCTCGATCGATCGGTCGATCGCTCGGTCAGTCGCTCGCTCGCCCACGCGGTTTACTTGTTTGTACCATCGCTCGCGAGTGGGTGTGTCATCAGGCTCGCCGCATTCTCACCGCTGTGGTTGAGGTGCAGCGAGTGCACCTGCTCCTCCAGGCCGGCGCTCACCACAATGTGCGCCGACAAGCTCTTCGGCGAGCTCAGACGCTCGGGGCTTGGGCTCTGGAGCGCCATTTGCCAGCGATCGGCGGAGACGGTCGGGGTAGGGGGGGAGGGGGAAGAGAAAACGTATAATTATGCTTTGGTCAACAAATGTCAACGTACAACACCACGCAGGAAGGCGATTTTAAATAAACTTACATGGAAAAAACGCAACCTCGACGACAAATTGATCTTGTAATATACGCGCCGAAGGTGGAGCGCGGACGCACTCGTTTGCGCACTGCGCTATGACCCTGGCAATCCCGAGTACGGTTCCTGAACGCGGCTATTATCGGTGGCTAAGAGTAACATCACCGGTGCTGGGCCTCTTCGCCTTCACCAACCAACGCTTCACCAACCAACGCTCACCGGAATCTGCCCGAACTTTCCTCTGGCAAAAAGAATGCGAAAAATCAAGCGACAAAGCTGCTGAATGGAGCTGGTGAGGAATCACCCCCAGTGAGGAGCTCGTGTCTGGCTCCAATTCCGAATGGCTCACATGGTGGAGATGACCTGCAGCAACCACAATGCACTTGATAATTGTTTTTTTACCCTTTTATCTGGCAACAAAACTGACACCTATTTTTTACAAGGAGTCATGTTTGCATTGACCACAATACCTGCGGTCGGAATGCAAAAAAAACCCCACAACTCTGATAATCTATGCACGGTCCTTGAAATTGATTGGTCCACACCTGAGACAGCTTTTCTTAGAGCCTAGTCTCACGTGGTGTTGGACCAGATGACGCCAAAAGGCGCACAACTCAAAGGCAATGCACCATCAGAGTACGAGAGCTCGGGGTAAGCATCTACACCATTGGAACCTCCTTTGCCAGTAGCATTACGACCGCAGGTATTGTGGTCAATGCAAACATGACTCCTTGTAAAAAAGGCGTCAGTTTTGTTGGCAGATAAATGGTAACAAATTTTTTTCTCATATTTTGCTACTGGCAAAGAAAGTTCCAATGGTGCACAATGCCCTTCTCAAGATTTGACAATGCCAACAACGGAAGCGGTGGTCCTGTGCATATATTGAGATCTGACAATATAAGTTGGACAGAAGACACGACGCAGACTGACCAGCTTGGCAAGTATTGTCCGTCATGGTATGGGGAGATCTTCATCCAGCAGTAGCTCAACAAAGGGGTTGTAACTTATAATTATTTTATATACTCCTAGCCTCTGCGTCCCAGGCTGTCCGATACATCCTTGGAAGCTTTGTAAAATTAGAAAAAAAAATACTTAAAAGTTACGGTCAGATGCGTCATCATGATGTTTCAGTGAGTTAATGTTGACGTCACTCCTGTACGCTTCAATTAATCCGAGTGGTGATGTCAAGTGTGAGCTATAATGGCGGGCAAACAAAGGAGGGCAGAGGAGCGACGCTGACAAAAACGAGTGGAGCGCCGGGCGGCTAAAATACAGCAAGTTGGTACAGCAGGGGGGACAGCTGGTGCCTTTGCCGGTCATCTCAGTCAGTCAACCCATGGCACCTGGGTTCATCCCGTGATCTCCGGTCAGCGAGCCTTCGACACTTCACGTGGGCTCAAAGTGCACCTGGCCTGGCACGGGCACCATGGTGACGTCACTGTCGCTTAGTGGCGAATGGCGGGTATTGGCATTGGTGACCGAACACAGCAATAACCCCCCCCCCCCCGCCCCCAATTTGTAAATCTCGAAATGGTTGGAAGCAGAGCGCGTGCCCCCACCTTGGCGTCACAAGGCGAGTGAGCGAGCGGGCCGTTGCTGAGCGCAGGCAGCGACGCTGCGACGCTCGCTCCAACGTCGTGGAACGACGCCGTCGTCGTCGTCTGCGTCACGGTGACGGTGAGCGTCGCCGTCACCGTCACGGCGGCCGTGGCGATGATGGTGCCCGGAGTCGCCGGGGTGGCCGGCGGTGACGGGGCACTGGCGCTACTGCTGGCGCTGCTGCTGGCGCCGCTGCCGCTGCTGCTGCTGGCGCCGCTGCTGGTATTTGTGGCGGGAAGGGTGGCGTTACCGCTGGGTGGCCTCGGCAGCCCTGAACTCGACGAGTACTCGCTGGTGCTGTGCACGGAATGGTGGGGGGGGGGGGGGAAATGAGAGGAGGTCATTAGGCTCCGTTACCACGGAACAGCGGCCAGGGCAAATTGCCGAGTGACGGTGGCAAAAACGCGGTTGGCATGAGCCTCGGTGCGCAGCAAGAACAAGGAATGGCACGGCTCCCGCCGTCCTATCTCCAACCCTCTTGGTAGCACGGGCACCTCGGCCCTGGTGCAAGTTGCACCTCCTGCACACTTGCTTGCTAGCTACTGACAAGAGATGTAACAAATAGTATCCGTTGATCTACTACAGATTCCTGCACCCACGACACGCGCATCGATAATTATGAGTAAAAGGGCGAACTGTCTCTGATTCACCAGTGTGTGCTGCATGTGACCGGCACATAGGGACTATATGCAGCCACTCTGTACAGTGTACGTGTTTGACAACAACAACAAAAACTTAAGTCTAAAAACTGTGGCCATGAATTGTGACAATGCCATGTACAGTGGCGGGGGAGGGTAGGTTATCCACTTTCCGGTTCCACGTTTCCCAGCCGCTAGCAAACCCTGTGCCGGTTTCGACTTATCGCGCCTCCTCAGCAGGGGCCCCCCACTGATCCCCCCACCTCGCCCCCCCCCGTCCCCCCACCCCCCCGTTCCGCACAGTGCACATTAACATACAAAAGCCCGTCAAGTTCCTAAATGTACCTAAATCCACCCGTTTCGCACCAACCCCTTCGACGACATTAAGCGCCATTCTGAGTCCCCACGAGTGTGAGGAATGGCTGGCAGGAAGTCACATCTGGGCCTCAGTACCCGGTGCTGGGTGAGGGGGCGGTAGACAGCGGAGGTTGCGCCGCGCTGGGCAGCTGCGTGTGTTCGCTGCCGTTACTGCTGCTGCTGCTGCCGCTGCCGCCATTGTTTGTGCCGCTGCTGCCGCCGCCGCTGCTGCTGCTGATGCTACTGCTGCTGCTGCCGATGTTGTTGCTGCTGCTGCTGCTGTTGTTGTTGTTCACAGACTGCGATGGCTCCAGGTTACCTCCCTCCGCAACCACGGCGCTGTAGCCTGAGAACCAATGCGGGTGGAGAAGGGGGAAAACGAGGCGGGATAAATAAGCGTGTCGGTACAATCGAGTTTAACACGTAGGCTTTCGCGACCAATATTAACCATTTGTAAATGTTTTGGGTTTGCTCTCCAACACACCGGTGTGCTGAACTAGTAACTAATTGGCATCTTTTGTTTACGTGACAAACCTTACTAAATGGCTGTGTCTGGTGGTGGCGGGTTTAACAACATATCCATACTTACACGATCTAACCCCAAAAAAAACCTCTATTACGGTACAAATGAGTTATCTTCAAGACAGTGCTAAACATGTGCCGGGTGTCCTGTAAAAAATGTTGATAACCCACGAACATCAATGCCCAGAGAGTAGGTTTTCCATAACAGTTTGCATATTAACCCCTTCCCGTTCCGATGCCATACGTGTACATCATCAGCTTTTTTACCAATTCCGAAACCGGAAGAAAAAGTATACTAAAATAACTTCATCGGTACCGATCCTCCCACAAGGCCATGCGGGAGGGCGTGTGACACTGTCTGGCGCCAGTGGCCGCAGAGTGCGGTCGTGTCGCTACGGTTCTCTGCGGTGAGTAAAATGTCTTCAAACCAACGGTGCTACTACGCCTCCCTGAATAAAATTAACACGGATGAGATTCGGCGGTGAACGGGGCATGCCACCCCGCAACTTGTAGACGTCTCGGAAAGGGTTGTGTGGACGAGAAAAGCCCGAACTGTTCAGTTAATTACGTAACCATGTGTGGGGAGAAATAATAATAATAAGTATGATCGACAGTGGATCGTGAATGTATTCTCCATTAGGTTAACATAAATACATGTCGGTTATCAACATTTAAAGTACACTCCCCCATTGTTTTGGATGAAGAAATCATTTAAAGCCGCTAGCAGAACCTCCCGGCACAACCCCATTTATAACGCACGAGCTGGTGAAGCCAAAGACGCCGACGCTGCAGACGCCCCTGTCTGAAGCTAAGGAGGGGTGGGGGGGGGGCGGTCGCTATCTGTCGTTCACCTCCCACGATGCACTTCCGTGGCGTGAAATAAACAAAGCATTTGATTTTTAGACAAAACTCAAGTGCGACCTTTGCAGGTCAGTTGGCGTTCCGAGCGCGTATTCTCTCACGAAAAATACCACGCCCCACCACAGGTTAAAGTTCAGCGAAGTGAGGTCATATGTCCCTCACTTCGACTCCTGAAGGTGCCCCACCACTGCGGCGCTCAGGAAGGCGTCGGGAAAGCCGTCGCAAATGGATGCCGAACTCAGAAGGCCACGCTTGCGGGTGAACGAGCGGCCGCAAAGAGCACAAACGCACTTAATCGAAAGAGGCGCACTCACTCGTGATGCCATTGGGCGGTTTGGCGGGAGTGTTCGGCATGGCCACGGCGGAGCCGGGAGGCCGGGGCTGGGAGGTGCCACCGGCTGTGCCGCACGGGGCGCTCGCTCCCACCGCCACCACCACCACGTAGCCCTGGTTCGATGTGGCCGGCGCCGGTGCCACGTGGTTCCTGGTCGACACTGAGAGAAGCGCAGCGCAACCGCGGCATGGCACCCTTCATTGACACGTGCTCCCCGCCCCCCCCCTCGGTTCACCGAACGAGCGATGGTTTTGGCCGAGTTACAGGCACATCGAGCCGTCGATGGTAAAAGTCGATTCCTGCGTTCGCGATACACGTCAAATCATCGCGCGCATGAGAACCGATGTTAGAATTTGGAATGCAAAACTGCCAAACTGTACGAGCGAGACAGACAGAAACAAAAAATAAAAACAAAACAAATGAGACAAAGGAGGCTAATTGAATCAACTAGTGACCGTGAATGGCAATCTTCCTTAAATCAACGTGAATGCATAACACGACTAATACACATCAGATGCCCGGCAAGTCTAAAGCACCTGTTAGGCAAGTAACGATAAAGCGAGTCGATTCTTAAGCTCAAATCGCACAGATCAGAATCACAGCGCGCGTAAGAATCAGAAGGTTATTATGTTTTTGTGACATGCAAATGTCACCGTAAACGCCAATTGTGAGAATGAACTTAGCGGAACAAATGAGACGAACGGTACAGACACGGAACGAGGCAGTAGAGACCGCACAGTTCCCCTAAACCAGTGGTTCTCTCTACCTTTTGGGTACAATAACCCCCTCTCAATCAAGACCAATGGCTTCGCACCACCTCCCACCCCCTTGCCACCCGCTACAACACACAAATCATCGGACCACAAATCCAAGTCTCTCGTCCACGCAGCGTTTAGTTAGGCATTTGCTTCACGTCGTGTGGCGCGCATTCAAACATTTCTCCTGAACGGTATCCATGCTGCAGCCTGTGCCCCTGCCCACTGCCCTGAAACGCTTTCCCGGCGCCCTGGTAGAGCGAGCGAAGAGCAAAAAATCCATAAACGATCCCACGAAAGCGTACAAAATACGAAGCGCGTGCACCAAGCGCACGGGGGCTTACATTGCGGCGGCGGCGGCAACGACAACGGCGGAGTTGGCAGAGTTGACGGTCCGGGCAGGAGCCGAGCCTCTGCCCGCTGTGCCGGGCGCCGTCGCATTCTTGGCCGTGCCCCGGCACGCCACGGGGTGGCTGGCAACGGGCGACGGCGGCGCGTGGTTTGTGTGGTTCGCCTTCACGCACAACAGTTTCGGTAGTGACTGCGTGGCAGGGCAGAGGGGGTGGGGGGTGGAAATGGCATGCTGAATATTGATTATTCTTGTCTACCCAGAAGAGGCACGCTGAGTTGGACGATTATTCTCAGGAGGGTCAGATCCTGCGACCGTATCAGTAGACGGTAAACACCTACAACTGGTCAAGTAATAATAATGACAGTAAAGGTTTTGCGTGGAGTGGTGGAACAAGTGGGTGGGCGCACTGCGCTATGAATCCGGCGACCAGAACTCGATTCCCAAATTCATATTCTTGGTTCTTTCGGTAAAGTCGCGTAGAAGGGAAATAATAAAAAAAGAAAAAAAAAACATAATGAAAAAAATCTCACGACGTTTCGGCCACAACACAAGCAGCCGTCCCTTCTACGTGACTTTACCGAAAGAACCAAGAATATGAATCCCTGCAGTCGCGAAAGCTTCAAATAGAAATTCCCAAATTGTTTATGTCACAACTGAAATGGAAAAAAGTGGGGGGGGGGAAGAGGTGGGTTGAAGAAGCGTGACGTGTTGACGTCGTTAATGTGACCCCCACCTGCGTCGTCTCGCAGTCCTTACTCCTCTTCTCCTCATCGTGGTTTTCCTGTGAAAGGGAGCAACCGCAAAGTTGTCATCTATGTCACCCCAGGAACCGCGGTGAACGTTTGATTCGGGCAAATTATTTTCTTTGAAGATGGAGAGAGTAACGGGGTACGGGCAGCAGTCCCGGAGATATACGAACGTCCGGCTTATGAACAGCTGCGCTTACCAACGGGCCATCATAAGACATTGCAAACATTCGATAGTGTTCACGAACACAGCAACTATTTTGTTCGGCAGGGCAATCCTCTGCGAGATGTAATGAGTCCCAGCATCCCGCGTGAAGCACAACAAAAGTGAACTGGACCACTCAAGGTAAGTGAAAATAAATCGATGTTGTTTTTATGTTACCAAATCGTGAACACGGCCGATACGCTGACAAGGGCTCTTCACACAGCCAGGCAAGGTAGATTCTTTAAGGAACCACTGCAAATCACTCTGTGGTGTCAAGGCCACTACTAACAACGCTTCCCTGTTGAACCACATTTTGTAACACTGACTGTACGTATGATTAAATATTGAGTTCCGAGATACGAACAAATTGACTTACGAACGGGTCTCTGGGACGGAACCCGTCATTCATAAGTCAAGCACTGCCTGTGCGCACGTGTATTTTTTTTTCATTGGAGAGGAGAGGTGTTGGACGTTTCAGGGGAATTGTACTATTTTCACAATTTTTATTTTACCAGGTTAAGGCCCACTGAGCAATGTAGCTCTTTTTCAGAAGCGACATGGCCACAACTGATAGCGCAACGAATTGGTTCATCACGTGGAAATTTACAAGCGCCAAATAACTCTCTAAGTGCACGTTTCTAAACGTGGAGGGGGAAAAGAACCTGAGGACCCGGAGAAAAATCCATGCCACCACAGGGAGAGAAGAGAGAGAGAACACGCAAACTCCAAATAAACAGGTGTCAGCATGGTCGGGACCGAACCCACGACCTCCTGCGTACCAGACGAGGCAAATAACACGGTGGCACAATACACGATTGGCGCGGGGTGGGGCCAGGGGGTTGCATGGAACGTACCATGGCTAAGAGGGCGCCGGGGCTGGCAGGGAGCGGTGAGCTGCTGGGGCTTGACGCTGGCGAGCTGTTAAACTGCAGTGAGTCCTCCTCCGTGATGCTGTTACTGCCAGGGGATGTCGCCATCAACGCCGCTTGCGCTGCGGAGGGGAGGAAGGAGAATGCGTGTGTGACGGCAAGGAAGGAGAGTGCGCAAGAAGGAGGGGAGCAGTGCTGGGCAGGAGACAGGTGTGGGGACGGAGTGTGGTTGAGGCAAGGCGTGTGACAAGTGTAAGGAAGAGCAGCGTGGAGAGAAGAGTTTGGTGGAAGAGAAGAGTGTGTTGAATGGGAGGAGTGTGAGAAGGAGTATGGGGAGGGTAGGCAAGAGTGTGGGGAGGAGCACAGGGAGTGTAGGGAGAACAGCGTGGCGAGAAGGGGTTGGGAAGAAGTGTGGGGAGGTGAGGAGTGTTGGTAAGTAGACAAGTGTGGGGAGGACAGGAGTGCGTGGGGAGGGAGTGAAGCGAGGGAGTTAGGAAAATAAATTGCGGGGCGCGTATCGTGCTCCCTCGTCACGTAACCGCATCGTAAAAACTTTGTTTTAATTGCCAAATCGTGAACACGGCTGATACGCTGACAAGGGCTCTTCACACACCGAGGTAGCCAGGCAAGGTAGATTCTTTAAGGAACCACTGCAAATCACTATGTGGTGTCAAGAACACCATCACTACCGTCAACATCTCATCATCCTGTAGGAGCCAACAAGATAAAACCACTGACGGCTAACTGCCGTGGTCGCGTTGCCTTCTCACAGCAAACCAAACACGCAGGATAAAATTAACGCGCAAAGCCAAACGACGATTACGAAAGCAACCAAAAAAAAAGAACAAGCAGGACGGAAAGGAAGTGGTCAAGTTGCACTCACTGATGTCCTCCATGTCGATGTCATCGTAAAGGAATTCGTTCTCTTCGAAGTCTGGGTCTTGCGAGGAATCGACGTAGTACTCCACGTCGTCCTTAATCTTCTTGATGGAGTCAACGTCTATCGTGCTGTTGTCCAGCATCCGCAAGAGCGTCTCTAGCATTCGTATGTGGTGCCTGTGCCTCTCAATGTGCCTCTTCAGCTCCTCTAGCCTGTCCTGCTTCTACACAACACACAAGGCAAGGAGGAGGAGGCAGCGGGGGTTGGGGGGGGGGGGAACCAAACGCTAACGCTGCAATAATAATAATCGTAATAGTCCTTTGTTTTAACACGTGAACGCCTCGGCTGAGTCTTGAGGCACGCATTCGAGAGGGTCCTGCTCGGGACGTTTGGACAATTCCTTTTCTGCAGGGGGCGGGTGGGGTTCCTGGAGAAAACCCACTCGTATGGGGCGGTGTAACTCTTACGCACTACACCGACAGGGCAACAATCTACTTGGGCTGTACAGCTGTCTACTAGGCGATCCCTCACACCCCACAAACCCTTATCCCTCGCAGGGTTGAGTGTCTCAGGCACATGTTGATGTCTGTGTGATTCACCAACCCCGCAACCCAAAGACTGGACCATTAGCTTGTGCCACCGCCATCCCAGCACTGCGTTGACCGTTCCTTATTCAACTGGGTGACCCCCCCCCCCCACCCCCGTCTCCACACCCCCCATCCCAGCGATTGAGGTTCATCACACTGCTCTTGACCGGGGAGTTGCACTTGATAGTAGTTACGTCGGAACATTTAATGTCGGGACGCCCCCAAAAAACACAAAACCCTAAACGGAAACAGGGATGCAAAGGAAAATAAATGAGTATTAGCAGGAGAGTTTGGTTCGGGTTAAGTTACACACAAATAATAATAACAATAACATAGTATTGTAATTAGAACAACAAGAACACGTCCACAAAGCCCAGGGATAAAAAATAAAAACTAAACGAGGGTGGGACGTACTCTTTGTCGGCAAAGGAAAAGGAACCAACAGCGAACACGCGAACGTTCATGAAATTTACATTTTTTCCAAGAGCTATTTTCCAAAAGATGAAACACACAAATGAGGACATTTCAATGCAGCGGCGGAAGATCGAGTAAACCTCAAAGAGCACAGCAGCGCCGCGTAAGATAGAGCACATGCCTGCGTGCGTTCCGTGGCGTAACGCGCTTCGGGGGTTGTTGTTTTTTTCTCGAGCGTTTCGAGTCATTTGAAAAGTCTCTGATCACAGGAAGATGGGGGGAACCCAAGCACGCCTCCCGCGTCCATCTTATCCGACCATCGCGTTAAAAAAACCCTGCGAGCCTGGCGTAAGCGAGCTAGGATGGGACCAACGGATCCGGGCATTGCTCACCTCTTTCTCCGCTTTCTTCTTCCTCGTCTGTGCCGATATCGACTCCACCTCGCTTTCAAATTGGTCCACCTACCAGAAGGACAGACGGAACACCCAGGGGGGAAGGTGAGCGACGCTTGTCAAGAAAATAGCCGCTCACTCTTCGACATTTAAAGCCCTTTATTTTTGTTGTTTATTTTGCGTGTTCAAGCCGAACTCAAGGCGTGGGCGACGCTCTTACCTGCATGTTGAGTGTGTCAATGGTGTTCTGCAAAACAATGTTTTGTTTGGATTAGAGGCGAGTAGGCAAGTGGGCCTGTTATTCTTTCATTTTACATCGGCTCGTTTTACGCGAGCGAGAGACGGAATTATTTCGGCTGCGTCGCCTTAGTGTGGCCACACATGCAATGCTTTGTTTTACAAATTATTAAAGATGACCTTTCAGACATTGAGCATTCTTTAAACTGTCACGACTAAAATGAAAGGCACAACGCACGTTGATGGAATAGAGGAGACACACTGCCCGGACGATTGCTGGTGATGGAGATGTCGTTAGTTTTTGTTTTTAAATCGGACAAAAACTAACATCGGTCAACACGCAAATTGCGAGACACAAGAAGCCACATTTTTAAGAAGTTATTCAGGACAAACACTTGGCATATGAATAGTTTGCCAAAACAACACATGAAGTAACAAACCTTGAATAATATAAACCCGAGGAAGGGAATGTTAACCAAGTGTCGAGGTCTTGCTTTCCACTCAAATTAACCAATTTGCCGAACAAGTGATTTAAATCCCAACAAACGTATAAAATGTTTCATTTTCTTTTCAAGCAACGTAATGTATCTTGTCTGCATCTATCTCGAGAAAACCTCCATCCGAACCCAACATGACATGTGCACCACTCATCTCAAATTTACTAAGATGTTTCTTTCCTGGCCCAACACCTCACAAGACACAACGAGGGTAGAAAGCACAAAAGCTAATGATACAATACGGAAGTGAAACTCACAGCCAGCCACTGACAAATGTCCTCCTTCTCCCGCTGAGCTGGGTCCACCTTGGCAGCAAGGCCTAGGCCTTCCTTGGAGTACGCCTTGGTCTTCGTCTCCCGCTCAATCACCTTAAACCTCTCCATTTGCTACACGCACGTGCACATAAAACACACGGTTCCACCATATAGCCTTCAAAGAGACTGTTGGGGCGAGTGCTGTCAGCGAGCACCCATTACGTTTGGCCTGGCGCACAAGGAGATGATCTTTTTGTCAACACCGCACCAGGCATTCAGTTAAGGTTGGGTTGACCTATTGGGAGACCCAAGACAGATTCATACGCTACTTGAGACTGATGTTAGCTGTGGCTAGGAATTGAACACAGGTCAGTGGGAAAAAATAACTGTGCAACCACTGCACACATAAACACACACACACACGAGTGGTGCATGAACGCACATGTAAAAGTACAAAGCTCCCCCATATAACGTTAAAGACTGTAGGAGCAAGCACTGTTGGCAAGCACCTATGAAGGCCAATACAGCACACGAGGGGGTGAGTGGCAAGCACCACGCCCGGCCACATTTGTCTTCCTAGTAGCAATGTTTACACATTGCACCAGGTACTCATTCTTAGTCGACCAAATACACACACACCTCTAGGGGAGGCCAAGGACCTATTCAGATAATCGTCAATGGTGTTGGCCAAGAGCGAGAATCGAACTTGGGTCGCCGGGTTCGTAGAGCAGCGCGCTAACCACGATACTACCGCTCCCCAAACTCCCCACATTTAAAATTACACTCAAATATTATATATATATTTAGTGACATTGCGGATGTCGCTGTGTAATGTATTGACATCGTGGGCACCACGTATATGTGGGTGCAGTACCGGCCCTAGAGAGGCTCGGTGAGCACTGACTAGCAGTGCTGGATGGCACCACGCTCTGCGTGCAGTGCCAACCCCTACAGGATAGGGTGTGAGCGTGCCAGCCATGGGAATGGGGTTACCAAGGGCCATGGCACTCTGGTTGACCCCGAAGGACACGTGACCGGTAAAGTCTACACAGAGCCCCCAGGTGGGGGCTATGGGTGGTCACGTGTCAGGGTCGAGATCCTGCTTGAGGGTTATCGAAGGTGGTCGTGGCTAAGGGCAGAGCCAGCCACACCACAGAGGATAGAAGCCGGGTCCCCGAGAGGGACCGGCTGCTGTTGTTATCCTGAAGAATCGACGTTCTATGTCCGAGAAGAGTCTCCAACACGTGCACCTGGACCCAAGATGGGGTCCTGTCCGTTGCAGCTACTCCCAGTGTGATTAGTGCAGTTAGCCTGGGGGTCCACCACCATAGGTTGTTATCTGGTGAAGGGGCAGTTACCCCTTTGTGTTGGTATTAATAAATGTGTTGCCTCCAAAGAGTGCGTCTGCAACTCAGTTGAACTCACTACATGTATACACACACAAAAACACACATGCGCACACATATTCATTCATGCACAGGCAGCCCACATTCAGCATGGGAAGCCAAGGTTTCAGCCAATTAAAAGTCTGCTGAGACAGAAATCTTGGCCAGAGACCATTAGACCAATGCTTCAATTGATCAGTCCTTTAGATTGAGGTCCTGAACAACCAGAAACTGTAAAGACTCAGGTCGGACACAATCAAAATCAATGAGGACACAAAGTTGTAGCCAAACAGAATAAAGTTATACTAAGCTTTCAACACATAAGATCAGACAAAACTTCTCAGCCAATCAGATCCTTACAAATTAATCTCTGCCGACTGAAGTCTCTTTATGAAGAAATCTCAACCAATCGGATACCGTTCACACTCAAGTCTCGACCAATCAGAGCAAAGGCCTGAGCGTATCCGCTGGGATTTTGATTGGTTTATTATCCGGGGCCGCCAGGCCACATCGGTGGCACACCGTCTCTATGAGTTTCCGGTTCTCCAACAGCTGCCGCTTGTCTTTGATGTCATTGGAGGCCACCCATGTCTTGATTTGGTCCCGTAACCTCTGCAGCCACACACACACGTACGCAAGCACGCACGCAAGCAGGCACGCAAGCACGTACACATTGAACGTCACTTGCTGCTGCAGAACCCACCTCGCAGTGCAAGAGCTCATCTCTGCGAAAAAAAACAAGAAACATTTTTTTTACAAACGTGTAAGGCTGCCAAGTTAAAAAATAAAAAGGGGAAGCTAATTATGTTTGCCCAACAACACGGGCAATGGGTTTTTAATTATTTTTTTCTTCTCTGGAATATGCTAATTATGAGTAACAAAAAATTGCAAAACCAATAGGATTGATATGACTATACACCTATTTCAAATAGATCCCAGGTGTTGACATTTAAAAAACACATTTTACACGCAGAGAAAATAGAACCTTTTATTATTTGTATTAACAGTGGGAATATTTCCTACTTGTCATGGGAAATACAAAGACATACCTCTCCGATTTATTTTAGAAAAGAGCAAAAAGCACGGGCATTAGCGGAGATCCCTGATGAGCGTAAGGGGAATAACGGTAAATCCTTTGTTGATTTGAATCGACGATCACGCTCACGATGCACACATCGAATTGTGAGTGTGCGAACCGATCGCTTCACAAAAAACGCACGTTGCCTGAGACCGATTCCTACTAAAAACCTGCAGCCGCAAGACTCTACAGGAGCTGTGAAATACCCGACGAAATCACCAATCAGTCCATATGTGGACGTTGGTGTGGCGTTGCCGGTCTCTGCCCATATATGGTCTTGTGGAACCCTGAATCGAGGTGTCGATATCGTATCGATTCTGCTCACAGTCGATCCGACAGCATTGTTCTGAGCATCGATTCGTCGAGGGATAATCGCCGCGTCGGTTCGTTGGCAAGAGATTTATAGATCGAGCAAATTCACGACACATTTATAGTTATGCAATATAACCCAAAAAAAGCCTGTATTATGGAAAATATTGGTTGCGAAAACTGACAAGGAGGGGGGGGGGGGGGCTGGAGTTGGCAGCTCGCGGCGCTCACCTGCAGTTTCTTGATCTCCTTTTTGAGGTCGGCCTCGTACTTCTCCTTCTGGTTCGCGTTGGCCGCATTGTGCACCTGGGTTTTGTCGCCGGCATAAAATTTCAGAGACAACGCAGGGTATCAGCGACGTGCGTTCACGTTACGAAGAGACGCGCGCAGTTCAGCCGGGGGTCCACGCGAGTCTGTTAATAGTGAGACCACAAGGCACGTCGGAGTCTATATTAGAGAGATGGGGGGAGGAGGCGGGGCTCGTTTTAAAACAAAAAGCTTCATAGCTCCAGCATAAACACACATTCTGATTCTGAAATGGAGAGATACGTTTGGGTCGGGCTCTCTCGCGATTACGCTCAACACACACTGTGACCGGCGCGGCGAGGTGGGGGTCAAGGGGAACCTTCGTGACCCGTAGGGTGTAGGGGAGGCCATTGTCCAGCAGTGGATTAACAAGAAATAGTTGGTTGGCAAATGTCTCATCAAACCGAGGGTGGTGCATAAAGTTTGTTAGAGAGCGTCGTGGAACACAGGCAGGCAAATTAGATCAAACTGTTAGATTGAGGTCGGATCAATAAGTGCTCGTTGGCTTGAAGTTCCGACCAATGACAGTCGAGTCAGTTGAGGTCACATCCAATTAAAAGTCTGTGAAGCCAGGAAAACAGCCAATCGGAATCAGTGAGAGCCCATGTCTTTTACAACGAAAATCGCACCTCCAGTGTACAAGAGGCGGCTTCATTATTTACTTATTGACAAAGGTGAAGCTCTCTCATTGACGACGCAAACAAAACGATTTCATCCGGTCCGCTCTCCCATGGGGACAGTGGGCGAATGAGGCCGTTACAATTAAGTTAGAGGAAAACAAAACCCCAAAAAACAAACAGGTGTCTATGACGTGTGGATATGCACCTCGGACGTGTGAGCAGGAGTCCGACAAGATGTCTGAATCTTCATTAATGAGACAAAAAGCATTTAAAGTTATGGTCGGGCGAGCCATAGCAACATCTACAAATATCGTCACACCTCAAGTGACATCAAAGCGACAGCAGCGTGTCAGGCCATAACTTTACAAACAAAGCATTTTAAGATCAACGTCTACATTACATCCAGCTGTTTGTTTCTGTGTTTTCCTTCCTAAGCGGGGTGGGGAACCTTTTTTTTGCCGAGGGTCACACATTAACACATCCCAAGTCACTTCTGTCACAGCAAGAGGCACCTTTAAAAGAGGTTGCAATCTAAATTAATAAGACAGTGTTGTGGGGTAGAAAATATCCCCCTCTAGTACCTTGATTAGTGCAGCCAAGCTGCTTGGATTGATGGGTAGTACTAAAGTTGTAGGCCTCATGTAACTGCGGGCGATGAAGTAGTGGGCCGTATTCAGCCCGCGGGCCTTAGGTTTAACACCCCCCGCACCCCACCCCGACTAGCACAGTTGGCTACGTACGGTGCGAAAAAAGTTCAACATACACACACACACATACGTACAGAACCTCAAAAAGGTGCGGATGTGGGTGATGCGGACCCCCGTGTGTTGAGGGGAAGATGTAGGGGCAGAGCTTTACCTTCTGCCAGATGTCTTCAAACATCTCCACGCCCTCGCACACCTTTTTTAGACAGCGCTCTATCTCTCCTGCACCCCACACGAGGTAAACACGCAGCTTATTTCGTTCGGCAACACGTCAAACCAGTGAGCTACGGTTTAATGTTGGGATATATTTCGCGGAGGTATTCATGCATGGTAGGCATCTAAAACCCATTCTTATCATCAAAATATATATACACACAGAATCAGACGTGGGAGAAATTATTATTATTTTGACAAGCATATGCTGCGTGTGTCAGTGCGATTAAGTTTCACCGCACTGTGAACCTGGCGACCCGTGTTCGATTCGGCAGCCGTACAACCGCTTATTCTTACTTGCGCGACGTAGTTCCATTTACTCAAATCGCGCTATATCCAAATCGCATCTGCGTTATAAAAAATATATGTTCCCTAACACATCCATCGTGTTATATCCAAAGCGTGTTATGAAAACACGCATTACAGGAGAACAAACTGTAGAATCAAACTGACAGTTTGAATTCTAACACATTTGTGCAAAAAAAGTTCAACAGACATACATGCATACAATGTGTCAGATCTGGCATTCGACGGATTGGTTGTTGGGAGACTTGTGAAATGTGTGTGTGTGTGGGGGGCTGCAATGTGTGCAACTCACCCCACTCATTGGCCTTTTATACAAATGGCTCTTTTAACACCACGCAGCCCCGCAGCAAGATTTACAGCTCCGCCCGTGGCGGCACGTTAATAAAGGGTGATTTATCCGAAGGCATCGCCTACGCACCGCCTGTACCGATTGCCACAAATCCAGCCATCCGAGGTGGCCAGGCCAGGAGAGGGAGGTATGGAGGGAGCAAGGGAAGGAATTGGGTCTTTAAAAAACAAACACGGCAGGGAAATTACTGTCTGCCGGAAATACTATTGTGTGGTCATATTTATGAAAAGCCGAGATTCGTTTTTCTTACTGACCAGAGGGACGGGTTGTGCACCTGCTTCGCATCACGTGACTGCTACGTAATGCATTTCAAAACGTCTGTGCATTGCTTAGTATTTGCAAACATTCCTCTGATCTCATGATTTTTATCTCCTACTCCCTCTCCCTTCAACTTCAGCAAACACTAACTTCCTTTCTCTCTCTCTTTCCCTCTCTCTCCCCGCATGCTTCCATCGTACCATTGATTGCATTTTCATATTCTTAAGCCAAGCGTGGACAAGTGTTGGTAGGTGACATAGTTTTGTGAGACTGATATTGGCCTACCAGATGAGAAGGAGCCTGGTGGTGTGTTCGTTAACCCATCTGTATGGGACGTTGATATCTATGCTACCTTTTTGCCAGTACAGTATCAAAATCATGGAGTAAAAAAAAAAGATAGGGTTTAGCCTTTCTGGCAATAAAAAAAAAAGCAGGCATTTGATGTTCAAACACCAAATAGATACCTATTACGTCTGCATTGACCACACGTACTTGTGGCAAAACATGTAAACAAACATGCTCTGATAACATGTGCATTGACTTTGAACCCAAATGACCTATGCCAGAAATAGCCTTATTTATTTTCTTCACCGTTGTATTTGACCCTTTGCCCTGTAATGCCCTCATACGCGTAGATTTTTCTGGGGTAATTTGATTCCCTCCCCAAAACAAATTGGGGGGAAAAAAAATCACAAATGCCATTACGACCCTATTCTCTAAATGATAAGACACTCCTTTCCCCTCCTGCCCCCCCTGCCCCGGTATTTTAAAGCAAAAGGTGGAGGTACAAACCAGATTTCTAAAACTTTATTTACAATAGGGCACAAACTTGTGGTGCATCTTACTTTCTGGAGCATCCTATAGTCCCGAGACTACGTATTAAGTCTATACACGATGGGAAGTTGCTTCTTTTTCCAAGGCAATTCTTTGGTCTGAAAACAATCTCGCCCCTGGCTTTGAGAATTTCTGACTTTCTTTATGCCAATCTTTCTCCCTCCACTACTCACTGTGTGCTATATACATCGCTTCACACTTCATTTATTTAGACGTACACAGCAAGGTGTGTATTATGTGTTGAAATGCGTTTACTCTTAACCCAACCCTGAGAATAATTACACATGTGCAACTCGGTAAACAATATAAATATAATTGTATTATGATTCTACGCAAAAGCAAAACTGTAGGATTCAGTGTGGAGAACTATATTATAATGCATTTTATAATAAAATTATTAACTGTTAATGTGTATCCTTGTGACCCCATGGTTTTCTCCGTCTCCCCTGTCAAAAAAATAACAACTCTCAATGAGCTCTCACCTTGTTAAATAAAGGACACTGATGAATCAGCAAGTCAACTTTTATCACTTCTTTAGAACTGCTTTCTGTATTTAGTTTGTTGTCCTTCCCACGCAACTCCGATTATATTCATCACGGTTGGCTACGTACGGTGCGAAAGAAGTTCAACATACATACAACTTGTTGCAACACTATACTACAGACTACAAGCCAAACTAATTTCCATATTACTATTAGAAACAATGATTAAAAAACGATCAGTTATTGCCAAAGAGGAATAGCTTTGCAGTTCAGACGACGAAGGGACAGTTCAGCTACGGCAACGCACAAACTATTGTTTGTTGCTCAGAATCACAAACCAACCCAGCACTCGCAAACAAGACACACATAGCTTAACCCAACATAAACCTCCAGCCGGTACACGTAGCAGACACACAAGGGACGTTGTTACGGGCCACCCACAGCAGGCAGTCCAACGTCAGCAACGTGTGACGCAACGTGTGACGCAACGTGTGACGCACGCGTGCAACTTAACCCCAACGTGTGACGCAACGTGTGACGCAACGTGTGACGCAACGTGTGACGCAACGTGTGACGCACGCGTGCAACTTAACCCCAACGTGTGACGCAACGTGTGACGCAACGTGTGACGCAACGTGTGACGCACGCGTGCAACTTAACCCCAACGTGTACGGACAAACCACACAGGCAGCGCTTCCAAGACATGAGAAGCAAGTGACCTAAACACAACCGGCACGATTGAAATTTGCCAACTCTGTGCGCATGCATACACACAAAAAGACAAAGATCCACCGTACAGCCTTAACAGACCATCGGGGAAAGTGCTGTTAGCGAGCAACTATGAAGGCTGGCACGGTACACGAGGGGGTGGGTAGCCAGCAACCATGCCCGTCCGCCTTTGTCCCCCTATTGACGATGTTTACACATCACTTAATCATTTGAGGCTGAGTCGACCTAGGGGAGGCCCAGGACCGGTTAACATAATTGTCACTTGGGTTGCCAGGTATGTAGCGCGGCGTGCCAACCGCTACACCACCACTCCCCGCACACACACACGCACACAACTTGATCTGAACACATACGAATAAACCGCACGCGCAACGCAAACACTTATCCCAAACCACAGGATTGGAACTTGCCAATACGACGCTCACATAATTGACAGGCACACAGAACACTTGAGATGTACGGGCTGACAGAAAACCCCACAAAATGAAACTCACCTACATGCACACAACACGCACAAAGTAATTACACAACTTGAGCGCTGCGATCATCTAGCAATGGCTCATACATTGACAATTTGCTGCAATGTATCTGAATATAGTTACAAGAAACTATTAATTTTGATTATGACGAATTAAATCTGATGTGCTTTTTTTTCTCTTTCTGCAACTTATCTCGAAGGTTTCCTTTACATATGAAACGTGTTAATAAATGGTAAACGTGTTTAGAACTGATTCAACACAAACTTAAATGAAGATAAATGATGAATCCCCATATTAATAACCAGGTGGAAGAGCCTACTGAGACAAGCATCCAATTCAAAGAAGACCTGAAATGCAGTAAAATCAGAACATAATCTGGTACACAGAACGCATGAAAACAAAATTGAGAATAACTTGGCCAACCATCCCAATCCATTTTAAAATCCCAGCGTTCCGTTTGTCCGTCAACTAAATTACAAGAACCTCTCAGAAGGCCTGAATCACAAAGTTAGAGAAACTGGACCCCCCCCCCCCCCCCCGAGTGTGGGGGTAAAAAGTTTATCCAACAGGTTACCAAAAATTGTCGACCCCCCAAACTTTTTTTACTACCCCCGCCCACCCGCCACCCCCCAAAAATGTTCATTTATTTTGCAGGCATATATGCCGAGATACCCTACATACAATAGAGTCAGTAGTATCTGTACGCATTAAAAGGGGGGGGGGGGGGAGAAGAGGACATCAGTAGGGGCGACGGGTGTTTGCAAAAAAGTGTCTGGACGCAGCGAAGTTCACTGCGATAAATTAAATGCAACTTTTACGTCAGTTAAGTGTGAATGTGCACAGACCGACAGAATTAAGATTACATTTTATTTTCCGGGAACATACCACTTAAATAAAATAAGACAGATCATTCTGACCCAACAACAATTCAGCCCTTGAGATGAAATATACTCAAGAGAGCAGTAGTAGTACACCAGCTGATAGATGTAGCGCAGATGTCAGGAAGCTGATTAAAAAAGACCACCTCTAAATTAATCTGAGGAATTTCACATTAACACAAACGTTGTTGTTCCTTGAACATTAGCAGGAGGTTCAGAAATCTTAGGGAGCGATAAGAAGGGGGCAATGTCTGCCATATATAACGCGAGAACGAGGGATTTCTCTGTGCCCCCTTTGGGCGTGCGATGACAGCTTACAAGACACACAGCGCTCCGATGTACTCCAGGAAGAGGAAAGCTGCACAAGGGTGTACGTATTCCATGTGTGTATGTGTCCTGCTCATGGCCAACACCAGTGACGATTATCTGAATGGGTTCTGAGCCTCCCCTAAGTCGACTTAGCCTCAAATGAGCACCTGGTGCATGGTGTGTAAACATCGCCACTTGGGAGACAAAGGCGGCCAGGCATGGCCGAGGCGGCCAGGCATCGGCCGACCTTCATTAGGTGCTGCTCGCAAACAGCACTTGGCCCAACAGTCTGTTAAGGCTACACGGGGGATCATTGTCTTTGTGTTTTGCGCGCGCGCAAAATTCTCAAGGCGCGAGGCTTGTGCTTTTGCCAGCTGCTCTCCCATCAGCAGCAACTTCTGTTTTAAAAACATCCTTGTAAATGTGTCAGAATAACAGGACGCCCGATCCGAAAAGTTGAGTGCAGTGATGCGCGGTTCATGCTGCTAGGCATACACTGTACATGCCATCTGTGCTTATCGCAAATAATTGTGGGGCTGTTTTGTTCCCTGTAACACCGTGAAGTGTAGAAAGAATTAGAAACAATAATTATGACCATGGTTTATATCCAAGATGGGGACGGGGGGTTGTGGGGGGGGGGCATGTGTGCGTGCGTGGTGGTGCCTTAGGTAGTTCTGGCCACGGCTAACGTTAGTGGCGAGTGACACCAGACCCGGTCCAATCAGCACGGTTGGCTACGTATGGCGCAAAAAAAGTTCAACATATATACGTACAAAGTGGAAACCCCTTCAACAACCTGCATTGACCAGCGTGGTGAAGTGTGATCACCACGCCAGTCCGTGAGACTTTTACGGAGGGTCCTGCTTGTGCTAAGATTAAACGGCTCAGAAAAGTTTTTCTTTGCACAAGGAAAACTGAGGTACCTGGAAAAAATCGACACGTATGAGGTAAACACCACTAAAAATCCAATATTTAAATAGTCTCTCAGAGATACCTATTACCATACTGACACCTCACAGCGTCAAAGATGGCTCTGTCACGTACACGCCGATGACTGGCGAGAACCACCACCCCCCCGGCTCGAACGACGACGCTGTCCGTTCGAAAGTCGTGCGGTCGCGCCAACTTACCTTGCAATTTCCGCTTGTCAGCCATCGCTGCTCACGTCACGATCTCTCGCTGCTCCGCACCATACTCCACCTACTGTGAGAGAGCGCGTGCAAAACCCGCCCACGCTCTTTGTCAGCGAGGGGTACATGCCGCGCGGCACGGCGTGGAAACACCGTGGAATGGCGTGGGTCACGGCCAGGCTCCTCCGATTAGCGGGGTCGGCTACGTACGGTGCGAAAGAAGTTCAACGTGCATACAGTACATAACACACAGGCTCACCGCGAGCGAGACATGAGCGTTCCGGCCGGTCTACACAGCGCACGGTGGTCGGTCCGCTGCACCAATAGCAGCGATGTGCAGGGAAACAAGTGTACGGTTATCGTAACGGCCCGACCGTAACATCAAAAATTTAAAGGTATGCAGGAGCGAACAATCAGCCAAGAAGGTTTGTCTCATGTGCCATTACAAACACACAATAAACATGTATATGTACACACATCCCTTCGTCAGCCCACTGCTGGATGAAGGCTTCACCAAGCCCACGTGGGTCAAGTGGGTAATTTGACCACCCGTCCGTATTTTATCCAGGTTCAAATCCAGCTTAGGTTCTGAGATCTAACGATAGCATGCACATTCCAGTTGATTTTCTCTTCGGCTCAACACACATACAAATGTTGAAAAATATATATCATAACAAGGCCAAAACGCTAGTGCTGGCGGCAGGCTGTCAACATGGTGGCGAGATGTTAACTACCTGGCCAGGTATACAGAAGGTTGTGGGTTTGATCCTAACCCTGACGCCTGTATATTTGGAGTTTGCGCATCTCTCTCCCCATAGATTTTCTCCGTTTCCTCCTGTTTTCCTCCCCCAATTTTTTAAACATGCGTTTTAGAGTATTTGTCTGCTATATATTTGCACGTGATGATAAGCCACTTCGTCGAGCTCTCATTTGCGGCCAGGTCTCTTCTGAAAAAAAGAGCGTGTCGCTCAGTGGGCCTTAACTGCTCAAATAAAAACAATAGTTTATTTACTTTTAAATTCAGTGTGCAGAAAAAAAAGCAAAAGGCCCAACAGGGATGAAGGCTTTGTAAAGCGACCCAAGCATAAAGACAGCAGATGGTCATCCTATTAAGTCAAATAGCTTTTAAAAGCTGGAATCAAGATGTTTGTACGGCAAAATTAATTCACAAACTGCATGACTGGCGTTGAAATTAAACGATTCCTTGCGGGCCCTATGCCGTTTGTTTAAAACGTATTATATACGTCATAGGTACACACTGTACACATTAAAGTGTTTTAGAAAACTACATGCAGTAAAAAAATTTGTTTGCATCAAACAAGTCAAAAATATATTTGAAAGTCGCACAAATTGTACAGGCGAATGCTAATTTTCTTTCCGTTCACATCACTGCATCCGTCATATCCACCTATGCCCGTTATTACAATCTTTTGGAAATAAAGCATGTGCTCGTAAGAATTATCAACAAAGTACCCACAATGCACCTAATTAGAGAAGCTCACCCGGTACAGAGCCTGGATAGTGCTTGGATGAGCGATAGGAGGCTGCTGCAGAGATATGTTGTCAACAGAGGGCAGTGCAGCAACATGCAATGTTGTACTGCAGTATGCTTCACCATCTATGCTATCCACCTTTATCAACTCACACTGACCAGCGTGTTTAAGTGTTTGCTAATAACCCTGACGACCAGCAGTGCGTGGAGAGGTCCTCATCCAGCAGTGGATTGACAAAAGGGCTGGTCATGTGCACATGTATACGCATCACAGATGCTCACACAAAACGCATGCATGGGCCTATCACATGCAAACAAACACATGTACATCAATGCCCATCACAAACAATGCACACTCCAAACGTACGCACGCGTACACCTGAAAACCACATAACACACTTGGGCAAATGCACACACAAACGTAACCTTATGCACGTACACAAACCCAAAATACACACATATGGCACACATACCCAAGCATTTAACATGTATCCATCTACCATGCACACACACGTGACATTCACTATTTTATCGCAGACCTACGAGAATATATCATGCACGTACATCCATAAGATGTTTTTGGGTTAGATCGTGTCAATATAAATGTGTCGTTAAACCAGGCACCACCTGACACAGCCAAATAATAAGGTTTGTCACGTAAACGAAATATGCCAATTCGTTACCAGTTCAGCACATGTGTGTTGGAGAGTAAACCCACAAACATTTACAATTCGAGTACGACGTTTTGCCAATAATTACAACCAGCATCATCAGGCAGACAGCCATAGTTGTTCTTGTTAGGAGGATTTCTCCACAACTCTGGATATCCGCTTGATGATGCTAGTTGTAATTACTGGCGAAACGTCGTACTTGAATCGTAAATGTTGTGGGTTTACTCTCCAACACATCGGTGTGCTGAACTAGTAACAAATTCGATTTGAAGCTTTCGTGACTGCAGGAATCCATACTCTTTTGTTCTTTTGGTAAAGTCACGTAGGTAGAAAAATAATAGATCACGACGTTTCAATCGCAACACAAGCAATCGTCATCAGGTGGGACAACCACAGCAAGAAAAAAACTGAATTTACCGAAAGAACCAAAGAGTATAGTAAAAAATTGGCACGTTTTGTTAACATGAAAACCCTTACTATTTGTCTGGAGGGTGGTGGCGGATTTAAAAACACATTTATATTTACGCGATCTAACCCAAAAACCCTTTAATATCGATAACATTGGTCGCGAAAGAATACGTGTATGCACATACATGATGTGCACTCTATCCGAGACAAATAAAAAACGTGTAGCTGACACGTGGACACAACATTATTACACGCATATCTATCCCTTATCACTGTCGTGTATATACACTTCACACAAACCAAAACACACAGCAACACCCCAATATTCAACACGCACACACAGTCCTGATACAAACACCTACAACATAAACTTACTTGACACCCACCTCTCACACCACCACTATCCCTCTCTTTCACACCCCTACCTCACACCTTTCTCAAACACCACCTTTCTGTGTCAATTGGGATCATGTATCACAATCATCACCCACATACGGGCAGAGACCAACGTCCCTTCAGGTCGCTTGTAAAGGAAACTCTTCTGGTATCGTCAGTTCTCACCTCGTAAAATAAACTTGAAACTTGCACCTACCTACCTCCCTCTGACGCACACACCTCTCATACATACCCACACACACTCCTCTCACTCACCTCTTTTTCACACAATATATACCTATGTAACGTACACCATTCACTCACATAAACCTGTCAAACACACACACACCTATGTCTGGCACACACACACCTACGTCTGACACACACACTTATCTCACAAACACCTACGTCTGACACACACACACACACACCCACTTCTCTCAAAAACTCAACTATGTCTCAGACATCTCTGACACATCAAAGATAAAGTCCCCCCCCCATAGCCTGAATAAACTGTTGGGGCAAGTGCTGTTAGTGAGCAGCTATAAAGGCCGGTACATCACACGAGGGAGTGGGTGGATAGCTACACGCCTGGTCGCCTTTGTCTCCCTCGTGGAGATGTTTACACACCGCACAGGTACTCATGTGAGGCTGAATCGACTTAATACACGCATACCACTCATACACATCCTCACACACATACACACCTACACCTCACATACACACACACACCTATACCTCACATACACACACCTATACCTCACATACACACACACACCTACACCTCACATACACACCCCTATACCTCACATACACATACACACACATACCTACACCTCACATACACCCCTATACCTCACATACACACACACACACCGATACCTCACATACACACAATGTTAGACACACACATGTATGCCTTACACACACACACACCTCTCACACAAACCCATGTCTGACACAAACCTATCTCCGACACACACCTGTCCCCCACACACACCTGTCCCCCACACACACCTGTCCCCCACACACCTATGCCCGACACACACCTATCACACACACCTGCCCCCCACACACACCTATGCCCGACACACACCTATCACACACACACCTATGCCCGACACACACCTTGTCTGACACACACAAACCTATGACTGACACACACCTCCCACACACACACCTGCCCTCACAATACACCTACGTCCGACACACAACACACACCTACGCCTCACACCCCCCCACGTGTACCCGAGGTTCATGTGCCAAGTTCACGCGCTCGCTCGCTCCCTCCCCCCACCTCCCAACGCTGGCGAGAGCGCGTCCAGGTGGACACAAAAGGAGCGCGCTGCTATTGTTTGCGAGCATCACCAGCATCATCATCATCACAGCAGCGCACGGGTTCCCATCTTTACCGTCGTTCACAAGTTCCACTCGCCTAAGAGTCGAGGACGTAAACATTGCGATGACACACGAGGCCCGCGTTGTCGAGGAACGCAGCAATCCTCAACACCATCACCACCCCCGCTAACCACCACCACCACCAACCTCACGTTGAGGGGGCCATGATATCTATATTTAAACACGTAACAACAAAATAAAAGATATACATATATACACCCACGACGCCGACGCCAACAACAACAAAATTACCCTCTTGCAAAATCTATAACAGAACGCGAATCGTGAATTCCGTCGTCGTGTGTATGTTTATAGATGCACGCGATAATTTTACGCACATTAATTAAGAATCTGCCTGTGCGTCTGTGTGAGTGAGAGTCTTGCAAAAAGCCCCGAGTTAGCGCGCGTGAATAAAATAAAACCCGCCGTCACACACAGACACCGCAGCGATTTAAAACGTTGCGTGCACACACGCGGAACGTGTAAGAATAATCGCAATCGCGTCTTTATTGAATAAAATAATAATATTCTTACCAATCGCATCCCTAATGCTACAGATCCAAGATGGCGTCCCGAGCCGCATCACCTTTTGTTGCGCGGAGGGATACACCGCCGCCCCCCCACTCCCCTTCACCCCGACCCCCATCCACTGCACCCTCCGCCCCTCGAAAAAAGGTCGCGTTTCGTTCGCGCGGTAACGCGAAACTCGACGCGATCGCCGCTCCGGGCGACTCGAAGCGACTTCGACACCTCCCGGAGTCGCCGTCGCCAGCGACAACGCGGGGCTGGCGCTTCCTGTAACGGGGGAAGGGGTTGTGTGGGTCGGGACTACTTGCCGGAGGCGGAAGAATAGTGAATAGCGGCGGAAGAAGAAGGGGGAGGGGGTGAGAAGTAGTGATGCGGTTTTGGGACTCGGATCGTGTCTGCAACCCGGACTGGATTCAGACCTGATCCGGACCTGGATTTTGCGGGACTAAGTCCGGGACTGGAGCATTAACTGGATCATGACCCGGTCCGGACCTGGATATGTGGGACCGAGTTCTGCATGGAAACCTGGACTGGATTCAGACCTGATCCGGACCTGGATTTGCGGGACTAAGACCGGGACTGGAGCATTAACTGGATCATGACCCGGTCCGGACTTGGATATGTGGGACCGAGTTCGGGATTGAAACCTGGACTGGATTCAGACCTGATCCGGACCTGGATTTGCGGGACTAAGACTGGGACTGGAGCATTAACTGGATCATGACCCGGTCCGGACTTGGATATGTGGGACCGAGTTCGGGATTGAAACCTGGACTGGATTCAGACGTGATCCGGACCTGGATTTGCGTGGACTACAGGATCATGACCGGTCCGGACTTGGATATGTCGGGACCGAGGGGATTGAACCTGGAATGGACAGTCGGACTGCGATTCGGCCGGTCCGGACTTGGATATGTGGGACCGAGTTCGGGATTGAAACCTGGACTGGATTCAGACGTGATCTGGACCTGGGTTTGTGGGACCTGGACCGGGATTGGAACCCGGACTGGATCTGTGAGACTAAGAACTGCACTCTTTCGGTATACTGACCTGTTTCAAACCAGAATCACGAGCTAAACGCGGATCTGGATCCCATTCGGATCTGGATATGTGGATCCAGACCGTAATTGATTACCGTGGCCAGATGATGCTTTGTGGGTCCGAGGATAAATTTGATACAAATTTTTTGGAACATGGTCTGATTGATTTCCTCCAAACCAGGAACTGGAGTCGACGGGACGTGTGTCTAGATTTGAAGTTTTCGTGACTGCAGGGATCCATACTCTTTGATTCTTTCGGTAAAGTCACGTAGGTATAAAATGAAATAAATTAAAACACGACGTTTCGGGCGCAACACAAGCATCCGTCGTCAGGTGGGACAACCACAGCAAGAAACAACTGCTGAAGTGCTTTTGTTGCGCCCGAAACGTCATGTTTTAATTTATTTTATTCCTACTTGACTTTACCGAAAGAACCAAAGAATAAGAATAGATCTGGTATAAACATGCGTTGCACCTGTTTTAACCATACCGAAGGTGCAATTTTCTTAAAGATTCAGATTCTGGTATGAGTACACTGTAAGTTAGCTGATCGGCAGAGACGCGTGTGGTGGGGTAAAGTGTGGGAACTTCCATCGCTTCCAAGACAGCGTGGCCAAGTGTGGGCCACGCCCATACTGGACATCCGAAAACAAAAAGAGCTTCATGGCTCATCGGATTCCTCCTGCAAGTGTATAAATCAATGATTCTGATCCGGGAAGAGTAGAGGGTCAAATGCCCTCTAGAGGGAGCTCCTCTGCGATTGAGGCCCTCTCGCGACCAGGAGCGGCGTGAGTGAGCACACAACGGCATCGAAATAAGCGCTGTGCGGCGGCAACTTGGGGGATATTTCTATTTACACGCTTTTATTTAACTCACTCCGGTCTTCTTGGTTCTTTCGGTAAAGTCACGTAGAAGGGAAATAATAAAATAATAAAAATAAAACATAATAAGATAAAATTCTCACGACGTTTCGGCCACAACGCAAGCAGCCGTCCTCTTTCTGACAGCCCTGTTCTTCACCTGAGGACGGCTGCTTGCGTTGTGGCCGAAACGTCGTGAGAATTGTATTTTATTATGTTTTAATTGTATTATTTTAGTATTTCCCTTCTACGTGATTTTACCGAAAGAACCAAGAAGATGAATCACTGCAGTCACGAAAGCTTTAAATCAAAAAATTCACTCTAGCCTGTTGTATCCTCAAATCTTGTAACTAAATTTTAATGCACTTCCCAATGTAGTATCGACTGCAAACAGGGTATACTTATGTCATGCTGATGACAATACTATATTCTATTAAAACAAGTTTTTTTAAGCACTCTTTTTCATATGTTATGTTTCGGCTTGGGTCTAATTGTCCACGCTCAACTCACGTTGGCTGTAAATCACCACGGTCACTTACGTTATGGCAAGCCTCGGGGCCACTTCCTGGAGTCGTGGAGTTCTGCCGTTACTCGTACGGTACATTTCATTAAAGCGTGTTTTAAAAGAAAGTATTTTTAAATATTACTTATTTACAAGAGGAACGTGTTGGGGTTGGACTTGAGGGGACTCGGCAGCACGGGTGGCAGGGGAAGCAGTAAAGTAAAAAAAAGAATAATAAAAAAAAAATTAAGATTTTTCCAATGATTTGTGTTATAAATGTCATTTCTGTACGCTTCCAATCATTTTTTATAGTCAAAATCGCCAAATTTGCGGAGCTCCGCTGCAAATACAGGAAGAGACGAGAGGTGAGGCAGCGACGAGCTCAGCCTCCCCTCTGATTGCGCAACCCCTCAGTAACTGGATGGAGCGTGGGCAATAAGCGCGTGCCTGTTACTATCTCAGTATGTCACCAATGTAATGTTAATAGACCTCTCCGTTTCATGTCCTCGCCTTCCATACTCCAGGTAACTTATTTCACGTATGTGTATAAAGATATTTAGGCTTGCTGGTCTCGTCATGAAACTGCAATGAAAAAAGCACCAGCGGAGGCAGCTATCACATCTGCCTCACTATCTAACACGCCACCCTAGTGAGGCCACGCCCCTCCTTGAGGCCACGCCCCCCCCCTCCGTGTGTGAATCTGGCTCTGACACGAGGCAGTGCCTCCCCAGCCATTGACCTCACCGCACGTCACTGACGGGTGGGGCTGGGGTGAAAGGGGAAAGGAGGTTCCTGCATTGTGACGTTTGGATCTAATGTTTTATTTGACCAGGTAAAGCCCACCGAGCGAAGTAGCTCCTTTTCTGAAGCGACCTGGCCACAAATGATAGCTCAATGAAGTGGCTTATTAGCACGTGGAAATTTATCGCAGCCAAACACTCTAAACGTACGTTGGTTCTAATTGTGGAGGGGAAAAAAACTAGAGGACCCGGATAAAAATCCACTCGACCACGGGGAGAACACGCAAACTCCAAATGTACAACAGGTGTCGGGGTCCGTATTGAACCCAGGCCCTCCTGCATACCAGGCGAGGTAGTTGAGTAGTGACATGCGAGAATCCCATCTTAATCGACAGCATCACCATTCGTGCTCGGCTGTTTTTCAAATTGAACATTTCTTTATTTAAAAAAAAACATTTAAGAACGTAATACCAGAGCAAAGAGAGGGTTTGTTAAATACAATAAAAAATATACACGTACACCGGCAGAATTTCAAATCGATACGCGCTGAGAGTTGGACGACAGGCACACGTACGGCACACGTACGACACACGTGGGACAACAATAACATTGTTAGCATCATCAGGGCTTCATTTCTGTCGGAGCTGTCCGGGCCTGAGCACCAGAAAATATCCCCCCCCCACCCCCTTCTCGCTGTTGGAAAGGCGCGGGGGGGGGGGGTGGTTGTCCGCATCCTGGGGTTGAGGAGGCGCCCTTGAAATTTAGAAATATTCCACGTGAAATAAAGCCCCCTGCTCGTCATCGTTAAACCGTCGGATTTATGTTCAATGTTAACGCACGAAAAATTACCACCGTATAATGATGATCATGATGATAATACAGTACAAATCACTCATTTCACGTCCATCGGTGGCCACTCCACCTCCGCCTTCCCCAGCCCTGGAGGCGAATCTTGATGGCAGAACAGGGGCCATCAAAACAAACGTGGGTTTTTTTTTTGTTTGGCAGGGATATGTGGCGAAATCTGCCCCCCCCCCCCTTCCTCCCAACAAAGTGTGTTTTTTGCAGCATTTATCAAGCGAGGAATTGTGACGCTCACCATCATCGTCGTCGTCTGCTCACAACTCTCGTGCGGCGCGTGGTAGAAATTCCATGTTCCTACGACGGGGGCGAAATGAGCCTCCAAGATGCCCCCCCCCCCCTCAACTGGGATTTTTTAACCCGATATTGGGAGAAAGAGAAAAGTGGTGTCAAACCTCGGTATATTTCCATAAAATATTGGATTTTGCTGGCTCTCCACCGACACTTAAATTAGGCCTCGGGATATCTGAGAAGCACATGTCAAAAATTAGAGAGTGGACCCATGAAGAAATGCGCCGTTCTCCGTACCACTTTGTGAACTCATAAAAAGTTTATTCCATAATTTTGCCAAGCTGCTGGGTAACCCCTCTGCTGTGGTTTGGAAGGTCACCTTACACTCCTGTGTTGAGATGGATGTAATGCAAAATTGAGCCTTGATTTAAGTTTTAAAATGTGAGTTGAATACTTAACAACTGGAGTCATTGTCATCCTCCACCTCTCTTCCCTTCTTATTTGTCTATTTTTTTCGTCTCGCATCCCTCTGTGGATTCCCAAGTTTCCATTTATCATTCATCCCTCCATTCATATACCCCAATTACCAAAGTCCTCCATCTCCCATCTCTCTACCCCCCATCCCTCCATTTCCCATCCCTCTATCACCCATCCCCTTACCCTTCTCCTCCCATGCACCCTTCTCCTCATTCTCCATCTCCCATCGCCATCCTCTCCCATTCCTGCCCCCCATTCTGTGCTGTTATGGGGACGCCCCCCCACCCCCATTTTACTATGTTACCAATATCCCAAATTAACAGCACCCCTGCAAATCCTAACGTAGTGAGCCCCCCCCCTCCCAATCTGCTGACACCTCTGT